ATTCCAGCACACCTCCACACCTACCCAGTTCTTCATGCGTCGAAGTTGTTGCCTTGTACCACAAGCCAACTGTTACAGTTTCCATCACGGAGATCCATGATCCCTCCGGACATGGATGGGAGATACAACATCGATCGCATAGTAGGTGAAGATGTGTTCAGAACAGGAGGTAGAGGTCGTCCGCAGAAACAATATAAAGTCAGATTCTCTTTTCAGGAACCAGAAGACGACCGCTGGTTCACACGAACAGAGCTTCTTGAGACCGCTCCCGATGTAGTTCGACCCTATGAGAGGGGTAAGAAAGGTAAAGGTCCGGCCTTGGACTGAAGTATTCTTGGAGGACCTCGAATTTAGGCCGGCGGGGTGAAACGGTTTTAACCTTTGCCGTGACAGATGCAGATCCCAGGGTTCGATCCCTAGACCTTACCTCATCCGTGTACAGTATTAACTTTTGAGTCGACCCCGTGTGTTTTGAACCCACGACCTGTGTTTTGGTAGTTGAATGTAGGCTGTCGTAGGTCTGTGTAGCTGTCGGGTCTTGAACTGTAGACCTGTCGATAGGGGTCATAGTAGTTGCAACTCTGAAAGGTCAAGTCGTAGCTGCTACAGTCCTGAAGGGTCAAGGTCATAGCTGCTAGAGTCCCGAAAGGCCAAGTCCACAGACTTCCAGAAGGTCGGGAAGTGGCCTTTCAAGTGTTGCTCACGTTAGACCAGAGGCAGTGGGCAAGTGGGTAGTCCAACTTTGCTTAGTCAGCGGTACCCAGTCCCAGTCTCACTTTGTCCAGTCACCAAGTACCATGTGGGACTGTGTGCACCCTGGGCCCGGTGGAAAAAGGGGCAGACCAGCGACCAATAGAAGTATAAATCAAGAGGCAGCGTCCAGCCATTCATTCATTCTGCGTGAGCCATGCGGAAGCGCTGCACTAGCGTCTTGTGCGAGGTGGTCTGCAGATGCCTGAAGTCGAAGTGGGCTGAGAAGGAGATAGAGAGTCCATAGTCAGTGGTAGTGAGCGGCCATAGCCGCCATCGCTTAGAGATAGGTTTCAGCGTGTGTGTGTGCGTGTGTGTACGGTACTGAGTGAGTGTGCGTGGGATATACAGGGAGATCCAGAGTCGAGTGTGCGTGAACAGTTGCTGGGAATACTGAGTCAGGGGGAGAAGTGTAGGCGCTCAGGCGCCATAGCCAAATTGAAGCGAGTTTGTATCTGAACTGTGCTCTCGACTTGAATATCTCTGAGCTTTGTGTGGGCGCCCAGCGCCGGTGTGGTTTACCATCTGTTTGCATGCATGCAAAGTGAGAAGAAAGCAAGTCTGATTGCATTGGTATCAGAGCATGCATGCAAAGTGAGAAGAAAGCGAGTCTGATTGCAATACATATAATAATAATAATAATAATAACTTAAATAAAGTGCAGCTTTGAAGGGAACAAAAAAACAAACAAACAAGGTTAGCTGAAAGAGTAGGTGCAAGGGCATATGTGCCGTGATGGTAGCGGCAACAGCGGCTATGGTTCTCTCAGCCTTAATCAGGAGAAGCGTGTATATGTGTATAATTTCTTTGTTCTTCCCGCCGGCAGGCTGGCAGCAATGAGCTGGACTGTTGGACTCTGGAATAATGGTCGGGGCATGGCCCAAGAAAATATTTCCCTTGGTGCTATGTGACCGATTGAAAACGCAATCCAGCAGAGTGCAATAACCCATGCCATATGTCTCGTGGAACTGAGGGTCATCAGAAGGCCTACTTGGCCGCCCTCAGCCCAGGCCGAACCAGGGCAGAAAAGGCCCTTCACGAATTCAGGGCCTGGGCGTGTGACAGTTGACTTTGGTCAACTGTAGTCCACCCAACAGTCAAAGTCCAAAGGTAACCTAGCCTAGGCCGCAGGTCAAGCACACACATTTGTTTGTATGCAGGTACCCAGACAGCATCAGGTCCAAGGGAGAAGTCTGCAACTGTACAATCCGGGCCTTCAGCTGTGAGTCAATCTGGACGACTGAGGGGAAATGCACCGAGGCCAGACAGCCTCGCTGACTACTACTGAAGGCTGGCCTCAAGGAAGTCAAGGCATTCAGTCTTGCTATGCTGCTTTGACGCTGGCTCGACTTTGGCTAGACGGTGGCTACATGCTGGCTGTGCACAGGCGCTGCGAGCGACAGCACGAGGTGGAGGCAGGATGCTGGCGCTTTCTCAGTGCGCCAGGCTATGCTGATGTGGCGCTACCTCTGGTCTACCTGGTATGCCGACGTGGCACTGTCTCTGGTATACGTGGCGCTGCCTCTGGTCGATGTGGCGCTGCCTCTGGTATATGTGGCACTGCTGCCTCTAGTCTACGTGGCATGCTGATGTGGCGAATGCCACCTGTTTCGATTGCTGATGTGGCATTGTCCACGCTGTCTACATGAGGTGACTGGTTGCGACAAGGAGGAGGATCGGGATCTGTGGATGTAGGGAATCGGGTAATCACCTGAGGTTGACATCGTCACTGGAAATCTGCTGTGTCTTCGGAGTCTTCATGAGATAAAGTGCCACGTGGCACTATTGTGTGTGATCAAGAATATACTTATTATCATTGAGGATGCGGTGTGGGAAGAAGCCCGGAGAAGGAGAGGAATCTGAAGGGTTTATTACTGTGTGATCTCTCTTCCTCTCCTTTGTCTATTCTCCCTCCACTCTCTTCTCTTTTGATAATGAGCTACTGTTTGAGATATCACTTCACGATCTGGAGAGTTGCATGCAGATTTTTTTTTTTTTTTTTTTTTAACTATGGTAGATTGACGAATTCTGAGCATCTATTAGACTGGGTTCATTACAATAGCATCGGCATGTCCCCATACACATGCCAAAATGACAAGGCAGATTTGGAGAGGGTCTCACACACCACACCAGACAGCGATATGCACAGCGGAAGTCCTGTAATCAAGCCGAACTGAACGGTATCAATTCAATTCAAATTTCAAAGTCCCTCACCACTCTCCAGCCCAATCAGATTCACAAAGAAACAAAGGATCGCACAACCAAGAGCGTAAACCACCTTGAACAAACTCAGGACACCGATTCGTCATCAAGTCTCCGGAGTCTTCCTCCTTCCTCCAAACTCAACCTCCATAGCCGGCTATGGCTGACATCCCAAGTTCACAGCTCCAAGCCTCACTACTCTGCAGAGCACCAGTGCCTCCACTTTTTTTTTTTTTTTTTTTTTTTGAACTCCCGTCGGCGGCGTCAGGGTGCTAGGGGGGCTGATAAGAGCAGTCACCTCTAGTACCGTACGGGGGAGCTCCATGTATTGGTGGGGAGCAACACCTCCACTCTCCTGTCTCAGCAGCACAAAGGCCGGTAGGAACTGCCTCCGATGCTCCAACGCCGTGCCAGAGTCCTCACAGAACAACTAACTTCTTCCCCCGAATAGAACGTACGCCGTACGGTCATTATAGCTGTGTATTTAGACTGAAAGATACCCCAAATACAGCTATAATGACCATACATTCTATTCGGGGGAAGAAGGTAACGAAAAAGAAGAAGAAGAAGAAGAAGAAGAAGAAGAAGAAGAAGAAGAAGAAGAAGAAGAACAGCTGCCATGAAGAAGAAGATAGATATGGCAGCGCCTAACCCGTGACAGCACAGATATGCTGTCGCCAGGCTCAGCAGATAACGCACCTGGTTCACTGCTGCCCGAAACCCTACCGTCGTCACCCGAATAGAGCGCCCGGTCGTTATAGCCGCATTTGGCACAACTTTCGGTCCAGATGCAGCTTTATAATGACTGGGCGTTCTATTCCGGCGGCGACGGTAGCAGCGGCTGCCCAGCTACAGTGCTGCTCCAGCAGCCCGGCGGCGTCAACAAGCGCAACTAAACAACTGCTCAACCATTTCATTTTATTTTTTTCAACCAAAAAAACTCTTCTCCAGTAATAACAACGGTACTGCCGTTTCACAAAAAACACCGGTACCACTCGGATACGGAAAAAGTAAACCGTCGTTTCACAAAAAACACCGGTACCACTCGGATAGGGAAAAAGTAAAAAGTAAAGCAACAGTCCGTTAAGGCCTGAAACACGGTATAGGACCACTAGTCCCCATTTCTGCAGTAGTTAGGGTATTTGGCAATTTGCAGAAATGTACGGGGCATGCCTGTTTCAGTTACCGGTTAGCACCCACAACTCTGAAAAATTGCAAAAATGTCCTCGTTAGTGCTACAGCCGGCTGAGAAACTGCAAGAGCCAATTCTCGATTTGTGATGTCAGCGTCGTGCCGACGCCACACCAATTTTCTGTGCATCCAATGCATCCTTCCAATTCTAGCGGATGTCTCAATCCCTCGTGCCCTCGTGCGTTCATCACAACGCACGGGGGCACACAGCACAATGGACAAGGCGCTGGACAGGAAGAGACAGACAGGGACCACACACACACACACACAGGGAGAGAGAGAGAGAGAGAGAGAGAGAGAGAGAGAGAGAGAGAGAGAGAGAGAGAGAGAGAGAGAGAGTAATACAAGGACTCTCTTGGATGAATCTGATCACAATTATGGCCCGTCCTCGATGTATCCGACCGCAGTTATGGGAAGTCCTAGATGTATCTGACCACAATTTGGTTCACGAGTGACAATAGCAGAGTGTCGCAAGGCTCCAGGCAGGAGGGGTTCACGAGTTGAGTGGGGTGAGGGAGGGGGGGAGGGGGACCTGGGAGGGTGTGTTGGCTTTACGCTTATGCCTCCCAGGGTGAAGGAAAGGATAGTGGAAGCATCGATACTGAAAGAAGGCCAGATTCACTTTGCGCTTATGCCTCCCAGGGTGAACGTAAGAATAGTGGTACTGCGATGTGTAACTGCAGGGAGCAGATTGGGGTAAGGTCACAGTGACACTAGCACTTTCCAGGATGCACCTGTACTGGAAGAGGGCCAGGTTCACTGATCAAATTACTAGTGTGAACATGCCCTGATGGAGACTCACTGTGGTACATGGAGAGACATTGGAATGAGTGACTTTGAGCAATGAATCACTCTACCTTTCTTCTTGCGACCCTTCTTGCCACTGGGATACAATCTAGGATCACTGTCGTACTGGTCTGCCAAAGTGCATAAGGATCAAAGTGACAGAAGCAGGGGCGGGACGATGACAAACAGGCACACGAAATAATTAGATGAGAAAGACTGAAGAAAGAACCAAGAAAACCTCTCTCTCTCTCTCTCTGCTCTTCTATCCCCTTTTCTCTCTCTCTCTCTCTCTCTCTCTCTCTCTCTCTCTCTCTCTCTCTCTCTCTCTCTCTCTCTCTCTCTCTCTCT